TAAATATTGACCGATCCTTATCAAAAAAGGGATGTTTATTCCTGGCCCGACCCCCTTCTCCATGTAAAAATTCGCGATGTTTGGGCGGTAATTGCGGCCTCTGGAGCGACCAGAAAAACCGACAAATATAGGTATTTGGTCTATTTCATCCCCTAAATATCAACCGATCATTACCAACATAGGGGTCTTCATTATCCAGAACCCATCCTACATGCATAATTTCGTTAAGATTGGTCCACAACTGTGGCCTGTATCGTGTTTACAAATTATAATGTACAGACGGACACACGTGTCTAGATCGACTCAGCTAGTCGAGATATGACGATCGGTATTCATAAAGGTGGGTCTAAGACCAATATTTCGCGGTGTACCAAACTCTTGGGACTGCACAAATCTATAATACCCTGACAACATAGTTGTGTAGGGTATAAAAATAAAACCACTTGTGGTACTTGAAAAAACATATTTTTGAAAAATCTAAGCCTCTTTCCCTACTTGAGAAAATAATTAAAAAAACTACGCCTCTTTCCCTTACTACCAACTTAACAAATCATTTTCTGGTACGCTCTCTTACGCTCCCAAAACAATATTAAAAATAAATATTTAACTAAATTATGTCTTATGGTCCTTGAACAATATTTTTAATTAATCTATGCATAATTGTACACCTATGATCATATTTTTAAAATCATCTACCCCTCTTATAATTCTCGAAAAACATGTTTCTTATTCCTTATTGCACCACTCTCGTTTAATCTACAAAAAACAATACCAACAATACCCTTTCGAACAGATACTGAGATACATATATTGTTTCCTAGTAGCTGCATTATGACGACTATCTATCTCCAATCCCTATTTGTTTCTTGGCTACTGTGCAACAAAAATTGCCTTAAGACGAACGGCGGGAAGACCACTTGGCCAGACATTGCTACTCTTCTCCTTCATCGCATAAATTATGCCAAGATATGAATTTCAAGTTAAGTGTCATCTTCATTTCCAGTTGTGGTAATTTTTTTTTTCTTCTTTTCTATTTTTTTTTTATTTTTGTAAGGTTGTTGTCTTTGTTTGTAATGAGAAACGACAGTAATATGCCAGCTATTTAGGAATGCAAGCAAGCTTTCTTTCCTCTAAGGAAATGCATTTTTTGTTGTTGTTTTTATCATCGGCTGTTTTTTTCATGGGCTCTCTGTGTAAATGCTTTTACTGAATTGACTTCATTGTTTTAAATGTTTTGCTATTTAATTTGTAGTTTCCCTCCCGTATTAATATTTTAACATGAATGCGGCAATAAGTATTTTACTTGTGAGGAAATTCCCTAGGGGGAATTTCAAATAATTCCCCCTCAAGAAATTCTTTCAATGAAGACCTTAAAAACTGAAGACCTTTTTTCGAAAGAGTTTCATACTTCATACGGTCGTTAAGAGTCTCTGTTCAGACTTGAAAGAGAAATTCAGGGCTCTCATATAAAAACAACAGGCTTATATCCCATAATTGAATTCTAACAACTCCAACATTCCTTGTAACTGCATTGCTGAGTATGCTGTATGGAAACTCTCTTCTCTTCATTAACTCATTACATATCTAATTGTAACGACGACGACGACCAAACACGAGGCCCCCACACATTGTTTACCTTTTCTCCAAACAACACGAAAGGGGAGTTAAAATCAACAAACATAACAATGTTGGGGCAAGAAATAAAACAACAACAACAAATACAACATGAAAATATAAACATTGTTTTTGTGTTTTTTCTGCTTGTTTGCTACTACTGCGCCATAATAGAGCAGACCAAAGAAGAGAAGGAATTCCTTTTTTTTTTTTTTTGGTGGGGAACCATGAGAGAGGCTGTTTACTCTGGGTATCCCAACATTTACATTTGTAAAAAAAAAAACAAAAACAAAAACAGAGTTGTTAGCTTTGAATGTGTTTATTTGTTGGGGACAAAAACATAAATTGTTTTTCTTGTTGTTGGTCGGTCTTCAAAGCCAAAATGTTGGGGGGTTTTACCTCCATTCTGCGGAAGATGTCAACTATTTATATGTAGTTTTTTAACTGGTGTTTTCTTGTTTTGTTGGTTTTTTGTTGCTTGTAAACATTGTAAGTTATAGCTTCCTTAATGGCAACAGCAATGACAATGAAACGGAAAAACAGCAACAACATTATTTGTTTGCTACTGTGTCACACACAATGGCAGTAACAATTGTAAATGGTTTAACAACATACATTCTTGAATATTTTACATTTACAGACATTTGTAGAATGGATTGGTAATTTTGTATTTTTAGGATTATTAGAAGTGAGAATTTTAAATAAATATTTTTTTTATTTACCCTCTTTTATAAACATTTAGCCCTTTTTTATAAACATTTAAAAAATATATATATTTAGGTGTAAGTATTGATAGGTGTAAGTAAAAATTTTTTTATAAACATTTTTTATAACACTATTTTCAAGATTTCTCAGAGTTATGGATTTTCTGTGGATTCTCGGAGGCACACATTTTTAAAAACATTTGTTCAAGGATTTTCCAAGGCATAGATTTTCTATATTTTCTTAGAGAATATTAAAAAGGCAAACAAATTTAATAATTTTCAAAGACTATCAAAGGGTATTTTCGAAAAAAATTATGGATTTTCAGAGCAATATTTTGTACCCTACACAACTATGTTATCAGGGTATAATAGCTTTGTGTTGCCACAAGAGTTTGTAACGCCACGAAATATTGGCCCTAGACCCAACCTTAAGTATACCGATTGTCATAGCTGAGTCGATCTAGGCATGTGTGTCCGTCCGTCCGTTTGTCCATTATAATTTGTAAACACGATACAGGCCACAGTTATGTACCATTCTTAACGAATTTTTGCATGTAGGATGGTTTCTGCCCAATAAAGACCCCTATTGTTTTTGGCACTGATCGGTTAATATTTGGGGGATGAAATGGATCAAAAACTTTATTTTTGTCTGATTTTCTGGTCGCTTTAGAGGCCGCTATTATGGCCCAAACATGTCGAATTTTTACATGGAGAAGGATATCGGGCCAAAGACTAAGCATGTTTGCTTTGATAAAGATCGGTCAATATTTAGGGGGTCAAATGTATCCTGACTTTGGTGTGAAAAATTACAAAATTTGTATTCTATGGCGTATATATTTATTCCTGAAGGACATAGACCCGAAAAGTTGATAGTATATCCAAGAGGAGTGGTTGACCTTTAAATTAATACCAATAATATTGTATGTACTCGGTACCACATCGGTAGGTACTCGTTTTAAAATGTTTCATGAGTTCCAGTTATGGTCAAGTACAACGTCTATAGTTTTCGGTGATGATCAGATTATAATTTTGGGATGCAGTGGACCGAAAACTTATTTTGTTGTGCGTGTTTTTTTTTTTTTTTTTTTTTTTGAATCGGTCTATAGGCCACAATTATAAGCCGAACATCACAACACAACCCACGGTGTAGGGAATCTGGACAATTAATTAGAAAGGACTGTACTGTATATGAATGGTAATATTCGGAAAATATGTCAGTGTAAGGAAGAGGTGATGTTGACCTCTAATCGGGCTAGATTGAACAAATATCACGAAATATTGCTCAGGCTCGGAATAAACATCCGCAGAAAGTTAGAGTCCCTTGGTAGTTGTGTAGGTATCGTATGGTAGGCCCCGCCCAGCTATACTGCTCCGGTCACAAGTTTTTAATTATTTTTTCAAAGTCGAGATTAAAAAAAATCCTTGTAGGCGAGATTTTTTTTTAGAATCCTAACATAGTCGTAGATTTAAAAATGTTTACTTCTCCTATCAATGTCGTAGTTTTTTGCCAAAAAATTTGAATAATATATTTTCATAGTCTTTCAATGGCGTACATTTTTAAAAGTAATATTTTCGAAACCTATCAGAGGCAAAGATCTTGGAACAATATTTTTTCAAAGCCTAACAAAGGGGATGAATTTTGTTAGGTTGGTTTTTAAGAAGGAATGGATTTTTAAGAAGTTTTGATTTTTGTGAACATATTCATTTAGAGTACTATATTTCAGCTTCACTACATATAGACTGTCCTCAATTCATCTATAGAGCCTCAATAGCATATAGCATATGCCCAATGTTGGGCGCCACAACTTTCGCTTTCAATTTATTTGTGATTATCTATTTACATTTGTAAATATTCCTTGTAATCTTCCTCTCACAATATTATTACTCATAATTCAATATATTAATAATAAATTTATTAATAGCATTAATCAAAGTACAACAAACTCATTTAAAGTGCAGAACAAAACGCCCCACAACTAAAAATAACCGTATTCTACTATAATGGCTGTCCATAGGAACGCTACTTAAAGTGTTATAAAAATTATAAATAAAAACAAAGAAGAAGAAAAAAATAAAAATTATAATAAACCACTAAACGACCAAACAGCCGACCATAGAATATAAGCAGTACAAACCACTTTAAGTTAATATACAACAACAGCAACATCAACTGTGATTAATGGGCAGAACAAGTTTAACGACAAGCCAAGCCAAACCACGTTGGCCCATATAAGAAAATAAACAAAAAATTTTTAAGCCCAACTACGGAAGCAATTGTTGTTACTCTTATTATTATTTTTTTTGTGTAATCTAATATAACAGTTGTAACAACAAAATTTTCTTAGAATTATTCTGAAACGCGTTTGAACGAAATACAAATGTTTTTCCTTTTTATTTTTCCTTAGAATTAAAATGACTAAGAAAATTACAACAACAAAAACATATGATAAATATGTGTGATGAGTGTGAGAACACCAACCAAAACAAAAAAACACACCTAACCAAAAAAGGTTTCAAAAATTGTTAACCAAATTAATAAAACCAAAAATTGAAGTGCCATAACGCCAATGCCTTAAAACTTGCCGCAACAACCAAACGCTACCTACTGAAAAAAAAATTCAAAATATAATTGAATTTCATGTAATTGAATACCAAAGTCATCAGCAAAATAAAAAACAACTTTACACACATGCATAATTTATTTCTACGTATCAAAACCCAGCTGAGCGTGTTAACCTCCCAAAATTCCTCCAATACCTCACCCCTTAAAAAACCTCCCACCTCAGCTGGCGGTGGTGGAACCCCCAACATTGTCCAAACACCTGCTTCGGCAACAGCAACACCACGTCATCGCACCAACTCAGCACCGGATATGGAATTACAACGTTCGCGTTCACTGAAATCGATACGTGTTCGAAAAATCTCAAAGGGTTCGTTGAAATCCTTAAGACGTGGCACGGTGTGTGTCACCGTTAGTACACATGCATCGTCGGTATTCTATGATACCGATACAGAGGTAATAATGAAAAAAACATTATTTCTACTTAGAAAAAAACAAACAGACAATTTTTAAGGATTATCAGTGGCTTGGAAAATATATGTTCAAAGCTATAAAATCTAGAATTAAAAAAATATTTTTAAGTACCAGAAGAGGTCTGGAGTTAAAAAAAACATATTTTTTTCAAGGGCTGTAAGTGGCGTGGATTTCTTAAAAATACTTTTTCAAGTACCAGAAGAGGTGTGGATTTTTATACCCTATACAACTATGTTGTCAGGGTATTGTAACATTGTACAGCCCCAAGAGTTTGTAACGCCACGAAATATTGGTCCTAGACCCACCTTTAAGTATACCGATTGTCATATCTCGACTAGCTGAGTCGATCTAGACATGTGTGTCCGTCCGTCCGTCTGTCCATTATAATTTGTAAACACCACACATGCCACAGTTATGCAGCAATTTTCACGAAATTTTGCATGTAGGATGGCTTCTGGCCAATGAAGACCCTATTGTTTCCTGGTAAAGATCGTTTAATATTTAGGGGATGAAATGGATCAAATGCTTTATTTTTGGCGGTTTTTCTGGTATCTCCAGAGGCCGCAATTATAGCCCAAACATCGCGATTTTTTACATGGAGAAGGGGATGGATCAAATACTTAATTTTTGGCGGGTTTTCTGGTAGCTTCAGAAGCCGCAATTATGGCCCAAACATCGCGATTTTTTACATGGAGAAGGTAATCGGGCCAAAGAATAAGCATGTCTGTTTTGATAAAAATCGGTCAATGGACCCTGACTTTTGTGTGAAAAGTAAAAAATTTGTATTCCATAGCGTATATATTTACTCCTGAAGGACATAGACCCGATAAGTTGATAGTATATCCAAGAGAAGTGCTTGACCTATAAATTGATACCAACGTATGTTCTCGGATGTGGGAGTTACACTTAAATATGTGCAGGTGCTTATGTATTCAAATATTATTTAGTAACCCATTATCACACTAGAGGGTAGAAATATAGCGCTGATCGCTTTTAAATTTTGCATGAGGTTCCAGTTATGGTCAAGGACAACGCCTATAATTTTCGGTGATGTTCATATTATAATATTGGGATGAAGTGGACCGAAAACTTAATTTTTTGTGTTTTTTTTTCGAGTTGATGTCACGGAATCTGAACAATTAATTAGAAGGGATGTACTGAATATGAATTGTAATATTCGGAAAATATGTTAGTGTAAGGAAGACCTTTTGACCTCTAATCGGGCTAGATTGAGAAAATTTCACGAAATATTGCCCAGGGTCGGAATAAACATCCGCAGAAAGTTAGAGTCCCATCGTAGTTGTGTAGGGTATCGTATGGTCGACCTCGTCAAACTATACTGTCCCGCTAACTGATTTAAAAATATTTTTTCAACTACCAGAAGAAACGTGGATTTTTTTAAAAATATTTTTTCAAATTCTTCCATAGGCGTGGATTTTTTTAAAAATATTTTTTCAAGTTCTTCCATAGGCGTGGAGTTTTTAGAAATATTTTTTTAAGTACTTCCATTTTTTAAAAGAACTTGGTTTATCGTCGTTAAAATTGTGATTTCGACCGCATAAATATTATTCAGCAAATGGCGCCCAACGTGACACATGATACTAAATATTTTTCTTAAATCTTTTCAACATCGTGTTCATGTTTTTCAAATGAAAAATTTACCCATTTTTCTTGCATCCTTGGAATGCCACGAATATCATTCTTTACAATGGCAACATATTATTTTATGTGGACAACATTTTTCCGTCATCACCTTGCAATCAACGCTATCAGCATAATTATCAACACCGACGACAGTCACTTCTGGCCAACAAAAACAGCAACAACATAATCATTAAAAAATTACTGTCGTCGCCGTCGAACGTCACAACATACCAAGTGTTGTAATAAAAAACCAAACACATTTCCTTAACTTTTGCCACGGGTAATAGCAGCAGCTCTCCACACGCAGGCACATGATGGTGATGGGAGCAGTTCCAAATGTGTGTCATCTCATCTAATGTTGTGTAATTGCATGTTGTGGGCTAGCGCATCAGGTCCATAAGACAATTGCCCCACCGACCTCCAATGTTGGGTGAAGTGAGTGTCCCATTATAAGCAACCGGCTGGCTGGTTGGCTGTCCGGTCAGTCATGGCATCTAGTCGCTGAGCTAGCCAGGCATTCAGTGAGCCACCCAGTTAGCCATTCAACCATCTGTCATAAATGTAGCAAAAAGGCAGGCAATTACCACATATCTACATAGCGAGATAGAGATATGTTTATTTGTGTGGTGATGATGGTGATGTTGATGGACACACATGAACAAAATGATTACAGCTACTGTTCGACCAGATTCCCAGTGAACAGCAGCAACAGCACCACCGGCAGCAACATGGCCATACTCGCAATGAAACAGCAATGGCCATGTTCGTCATCATCTTCCATTTTTTTTGGTTGGTTGGTCGGTCGGTTGGTTGCTAGCTTCGTTTGTGTAATGATTGCTGCCTCAGGTAGCACAATTACCAACACCGGCACGGCACCACCACTCATAGCTAGTAGAGTACCGTCAGGGTACTAACCAAACAGCACCTATATGTCCACGATTTAGATATAATTTTTGTGTTGCCTTTCTTCTGCCTCTAACGGTAATTTTAGATAGCCGCTGCTGCTCTTCTTATGTTGTAATATTTGTTCTCTTTTTTGTTATTCATGTTAGTGCAATGTAATCTGGTTGTTGTTAGTTTTTTGTCAAGACATTATATAAACGGTTTTTAAACTGAAACTGTTCATCATACCATAATAACTGGCCAGCCTGCCAACCAACAAACCATCCGAACACCCAACCAGCTAGCCATTCAGCAAGTCCGCTTGGCAAAGGTGTAGCAATTTTTAGCTTAGCTTGAGCATGTGGAAACATTTGCCGTAACTGTCCATTCTGTTTTTTTCCTTTTATTCTATTCTATTATTCATGATTTTGTTTTCCTTTTTCCTATCATTTTTTTCTATTTTCTATTACATGAATATCTATTATTCTAAATTTCCTTTTTTTCTTCACTCAGTTGGTCGCCGCTACTAAATTCCACCGTCATCATCCATCTAATCAATATCTCTTCCTCACTTGTTATTTTTCTCATTGTATATTTTTCTATTGTTGTTGTTTGGAGTTTTTCTATTATTTTTTTCGTGGAAATGACCATGAAAATTAATTCAATTACAGTTGTTTTCAGGCTATACAAGTGGAAGAAGCAAAAACAAAAACTGCTCAGGTCTTCCATTAATGCCGGTGGTTGTAAGTTTTCTTTTCTAAAAGCAATGCAATCAGATTGTTGTCAGCCAATTCCGAATAGGTGGGTTTTGTTGTGGCGAATAGGAAACTATCATTGACAAAAATCTGTACAATAAATGTATTTTAACCAAATGCCTTACGTTGGGCGCCAAAGAGACAATTTGGATAGATTTTATTTATATTTTTGCATAAAATAGCTAATAAATTATATGATCTAACTTTATTTTTAATAGTCCAATGATTCAGAATTAGACCGATGGGTATGAAACATTTGATTAATAATTCATTAAGTTTCATTTCTGCTTCGACGGAGGTTTTTGTGGATGGTCCCAATCAATAAACGGTCTTTATGGTGTCGATCATCTTCTTCTCGGCTTCCTAATTTTTGTGGCTTTTACATCTCCAATCATTGTTTTTCCTTTTTTAAGCGTCGGACACGTAGTACGTCTAAGTTCTAAGTCTTGTATAGACTTAGAACTGAAGACTTATCCAAGCCCACCACAATGAAAGATCCCCCTCATTGTTCTCATTCCTGCGGAAGAATTCCTAATTCTTCACCAGACCAAAAATTTCGAGCATGCGTCCTGTTGTGTACTCTCCGTCCCAAACTCTGACGAAGGCAGTAGAGTTTTAATGTAGAGCACTGTATTTTTTCGGATCCTGCCTCTCAATTCTTCTGAAAAATACATCGTTGGACTCGTAGTACGACATACCCTTAGTCTTGGCCAAACATGCCATCGTAGACTTGGCCAAGCCCCCCACAGGGAAAGTCCCTTCACCGTTCCCCTATGACAGTGATTTGCTCTACAGACCAAAGAACATGTTCCAACCTCTTACGAAGACAGTTGAATTTTGTACCTGAGGAATGTTCCTCTACGAAGTCGTCCATCTACTTCTCCACTCGGTAACGGTTTTTTGTGGCTTCATCCTCTATAATCCTTGCCTTCCTAGGTTTAAAAAGGACATATTCAGACCCGTATTACGCTTTACCAATAGTTTTGATCAGTATTGCCATTGAAGACTTGTCCAAACTTACAATAGAGTCCCTATATCTTTCTCCTCCCTGCGGAGACTCACTTTTTCATCAGCTAAACATTGTTCTGCAGACCGACCAAAAGCTTCGAGAAGTCGTTCTGTTGTGAACTCGCTGCCTCATATAATAAAAACTATATCTAATTTTTATATCCACGTCGGTCTGTAATGACTTACGTTGGGCGCCAAATGAATCAATAAAATAAGGTTATGAAAATATTGCAATTTGCATTTGATATTTATGTCACATATTGGGCGCCACATATTTATTATAAATTAATCCCAGCATTGTAGGTAATTTTATTTAGAAATTTGGACACACATTGGGCGCCATTTTAGTTTATTAAATACATTGCCAATTTTATACGTTTAAGAATTGTATTTCTAGTCTATAACCTACATTGGACGTTTAATGTACAGCAAAGTGGAATTACAATTTGTACCCCTCGTTGGGCGCCAATTAGAGATATGTGTTCTATGCATGGATATTATTAGTTGATTTTCATGTTTATATAGGTTTCAATTTTGCTAGTCAACCCCAGTTCTTCTCATTAGAAAATTAAATGTAATTAGTGAGCCACATTGGGCGCCAACTGCATATATGAAGAAATTACATATATCCCACTATGTGCGTGCTATGACATTTTCTGATTTTTTTGTTTAGAGATTTTAAAGTTTGACACTTTTATATGGTTACCAATATCAGAATGTTGTAATTCGATGTTGTACCCCACGTTGGACGCCATCTGTAGTTAAGTAGATATAATATAAAAAACATCAGTATTTAATTTAGTTCGAGTGGTTTCACAAGGAAACTATTTTTACTTTATATTATTAATACATTTGTCTTTGTGGACATTAACTGACCTTCGTTGGGCGCCATATCTTCATTTTGTTATATGCATAATAATATTTAAACCTAATAAAACAATATTATTTCCTAGCTTTAGTAGGTGACATTGGATTCTTGCCCTTCATTGGGCGCCAATTGTACATGTATTTAAAATATGTATATTTTTTATTTATGTGTTGACAAGCTTACCTAAGTTTAAATTTGTCAAGCCTTTTTTTATTAATTTATAATGAAACATATTACTATTATATTACTAGTAAATGAAATCTATTTTCCCTTCTCTACATTGGGCGCCATATGCAAATGCGTACATATATTAATAAAATGCATAAATCTAGACATTGTTTTACTTAGCTGTCATAAAATTCTTCAAGTTCATTGGTTTACCATGACCTGAATATTGCAATTCGTGTTGTTGTCCCCCCAAGTTGGGCGCCATCTGTATCTACAAGTATTATGAATAATTTATGTAAAAGTAATAAATCAATATGTTATCTTCCGTATTTCCCAAATATTTATCAACAATTTTTACAAACCAATTTTGTTACCTTGCCCTGTATTTTTTGTGGATTGATAATAACCATGAAAAAAAATTCTTACAAAATTTGTCATTGACATTAATACCATTTTTTTCTTTGCTTATCGTGTCATACACACATTTTGTCATACAAAATGATGTTCTAAACTTTGATTATGTGAACTCTTCGATCGTACACCGGCGAATCTTATCAACAATGCCATAAATAAAATATTGATAAAAATATCAACTAATTGGCTTTTAAACGTAATATTTTCAAGGGGTTCGTTTTTGGGATTTTTTAATTTATTAAAAAATAATAATATAATATAATTTTATTTTGTTTTTATAATATTATTTAATAATTTTATTTTATGTTTTTTTTTTCTATCTTTCCAGGGCGATTATATAAAACATCCTGTCCTATACGAATTAAGCTACAAATATGGTTTCACAGACAATTTACCCGAAAGCGGCCTGCCCAGCCGCTTGGAGGAGATCAAAGAAGCAATACGACGAGAAATACGAAAAGAGTTAAAAATCAAAGAGGGCGCTGAAAAACTGCGCGAAGTTGCCAAAGATCGTCGTTCGTTGAACGATGTTGCTGCCATTGTCAAGAAGAGCAATAATAAAATTGCCGAACTGAAATCGGAACTGCAAGAATTGGAATCACAGATTCTATTGACGCAGGGCAATGATCGAGGTAAGTGAACAGAGCAACCAATAAAACAATTGTTTTTGGATCTGATTTAATTGACAAATTGATTTGTCCAGAGGTGATGAAGAAATATTTGTATTGGCCATTTTTGGGATGTTGTGAAAATACCTCCTCCCCCCCTCAGTGATGGAATATATGGTAGTGGCTATTGCCGTCGGAGCACAGCACCTATTTTTTGTTGTTATGACCATTTGTAGTGGAACAGCCAAAAAAAGCGGCTGTCGTATTATGAAAGCCCAACAAATATTTCTACACCGCTATTGTTGGTTTTGTTGTTTCTTAACACTATTCATGTTGTTGTAGCTATTTATTGTTTTTTTGGTAAAATATTTCTAGAACTGGTTTACTCCATAAGTAGCCAAAATCAATCAAATCATTTTGTTATGGCCTGTTTGTAATGATTAAATTGTTTTTGTTGATGCTGTTGCGGATTTTTTTTTTTTTTTGACACGATTATGAGGTGTTAAATTACAAATGACGAAAGTGTTAATTTCTCACGATTTTTCTTTTCGTTGGAGGGGGAAATTAACAGATAATGTTAAAAATTTTTGGAAGCATGTAAACAATGTTCAGTCCTCCCAAAAACTATATATGTGTATATGCTGTATATCTCTCTATAAATAATATTTTATATAAAAATTATTGACCTTCACGTTTCATTTCGTTGATGTTGGAGATGGTGTTGTTGTTGTTGATTTTTCCGCTTTCACACATTTTTTCACACTTTATATATTTGTTTTCATTTTTATTTGTTTTGGAACCAATCCGAAAAATCTGTTAATGCTTTTTGTCTGCCTAAAAGTCTAAGGGGATCTCTGTATTGTTTTTTTTTTTTATAAAAATGGGATTAAGTGCATGTTGATCGTCCGCATGATTTTCTGGGGGATTAGTGAAAATATGAAAAAAATATTTATTCTTGCAATGAAAAGGGGTCAAGGAGGGTCAAAGAAGTATTTTTATGGATGAGAGGTCTTTACTGCATCAAGGTCTTCCCCTAGTGTTGTTTCGATAGAACATTTTAAGAGATCTTCCCATAAAAGACCTGAAAAAGGGAGAGATGGAAAAGATCTTCATTAGGAGGAGTGCCAAAGGGTCTTCATTAGGAGGAGAAGACTATAGGGCCAAGTCTTCTCCTCCTAATGAAGAGCTGACAAGTATTTCAAAAGTTCTCTGTAAGGAAGATTTAAAAATTCTTCATCGCAGAGGCCTAATAAGACATTCCGGTCAACATTTTCCTTAAAAAGTCCTTCCTATTTTCTCAGAGGCTATAGGACCTCTTAGATACTATATTGTCTTCTGAAAAAAATAGTTTTTAAAGATCTTCTGAAAATTTTTTCTGTTAGGAAGTTAAACATTTTCCTTAAGTTCTTTCTCTAGGGAGGATCTGAAGATTCTTCCTCAAGGAAGCTTCCTCAAGGAAGCTTTGTGACCAACAATGTTGTTTTTTTTAAGACTGAGAAGATAAATATTTTCTCAGAGATCTATAGCCCTCAAAGAGACCACATTGTCTTCTGAAGAAAATTTGAAGGTCCGACTAGTCTTGCTAAAGTTCTCTCTGTAGGAAAGTCATACAGATTTTCCCAGGAGAAGGTCTGAAGAAGACTTTTCGGCTATTTTTGGTTTCACTATTTTTCAGAGATTATCGGACCTCATATGTCTAGATGGTCTTCTAAGAAAACCCGATCTTCTGTAGAAAAGTTGAAGCTCTGGCAAGTCCCTAGCCAAAGATTATTTCTCGAGGAGACCTAAGGAATGCATACCCTTAAGAAGATCTAAAGATGCTATTTATATTATCCGATATAAATACGATTTCATAGCACACCACATTGTCTTCTGAAGAAATTAGGTCTTAAAGGTCTTCTATAGAAATGCAGAAGGTCTTCTGTAGAAAAGTTGAAGTTCTAACAAGACTTTAAAGTTCTCTCAAGAGAAAACCAAAAATTCGTCCTAGAGGAGACTTAAAGAAGGTCTTCGGAACAGAGGTCTTATTCTTCTTCAAAAAATTTCTGAAGGTATTTTCCTGAAACACCAGGAAGTCTTCTTCACGGAAAACCGGAAACGGTTGTCTCATAGAATTCCTTCTGGAATAGGGTTTTTAGTAGACTGAGTACCAGAAGGTACTCTTCATAGCCGATCAGAAGACCGGGAGGCATTCTACATAAAAGACTATAAGGTTTTCTTTTTTTTTCCTTCACATAGAACCAGAAGACCTGGAGGTTTTCAACTGAAGTTTTTCTTTCTGGGCCAGAAGTCCTGGAGATATTTTGAAGAGAATACCAGGACGCCTTTTTCGAAGAAACCCAAAACGTCTGCTTAGAAAAGAGGTTTTTTTTCCTTATAAAGAGGATGTTTTCCTTATAGAGGTTCAAGAGGACTCCTCATAGAAAACCAGAAAGTCTTATTCATAAAATTGAGATTCTCTCTCTACACGGAAGACCAAAAGGTCTAGGTGGTCTTTCTTCTATATATAAGACCACCTGGCCTTCTAGACCTTTTGATTGCTTAATTTATAGAAGACAAAGATGGCTTCTTCATAGAATGTCAGAAGGTGTTCCTCAGAAAACTGGAAAGTCTTTTTTCATAGAAGATCTGAAGGTGTACCTCATAGAAGTTCAAAACATCTTCTTAATAGAGATCTTGAGAACTTCTACATATAGTGTTGCAGAGCTTTTCCATAGAGGTTCTAAAATATCATCCTCCATTCTGTCTTCATTTTTTATTCTTCGTTCTTATTGACCCACTACTTGAATTTCCACGAATGAAAAACTCGGTTTCCCAGTACCCCATAAATTTACCAAAAACCGAATGAGATTCATTACGGATGAATAATAGTCTTCCTGCATTTCATGCTTCGAAATATATTACCCCCAAACAAATGATTTGCATTTCATTAGAAGTTCCAAGAAAATTTCTTGTGACATTTTAAAAACATTTTCTCAACTCAATGGCCCCCTTGTTTCCCAGAGGAGCAGAGACAAAATTTCCTTTGTAACAAAAAAAAAAAAAAAACACCTAAAAGAAAAAAAAACATGTAAATGGACCAATTTAGTTGGCGCCGCCATTTGTTGTTATTTAGAAATATTTTCTTTTACAAAAGACAAATGTTTTATGTTTTAACAGAACAGAAAATTCCGCACATATAGAGGCACACTCAAACAAACATACCCACTCAGCCAACATGTTAAATATAGGAGGGTGGGTGGCAAATATGTTGTCTTCTTGTTGCTGTTCTTTTTTTGTCTACATTTTAGCAAGGTCAGACAATTGGCCATTCATGAAAATTAAATTAAAAACAGAAACACCATACACAACAACAACAACATTAATATTATGATAGATGTATGTAATGAACATGCTTGTTCTGAAATTGGAAAATATATTTATATACATATGTATGTGAATAAAATTGTAGTTTTCATAAATTGTGCCCTTGTCGGGACCAATATAAATCATTTATTTATGAACCGATTTGAAGTCTAATTAAGTAAATAAACAATAGATCATTCAAAATTGACTGCCATCCGCTGCTGCTACGACCCTTTGAGATTTCCCATTCAAATGAATGGTCCGTACAAAATCGATTTGTCTGTCTGTTTCAAGGTATTCAAATTGAAGTGGACATTAAATGATTTCCCATTGAATGTTGCTCTGATTTTTCGTTAGGATCCCCTTTTCAGTTTCATTAATATTGAATTATTTAAATATAAATGAACTTTAACATATTCTATGAATTGAACTTTTAAGGGCTGACGCGGAGGTGACCGTTCATTACTAAAACAAAAACATATATGTGCTATTATTTTCAAATGGCAACGAGGTCGGTATGGCAGGCTTATAGGGTATCATTAAGAATAGTTCGTTATTTTTTTAAAAGAAGGCGGGTTCCTGAGCTCAAATAAAATGTGGTTGTTCAGTTGTTCTACAAGTTGGGGTGGAATTTCTAATATTCGAAGAATGTGAATCTACATGAGAAATCTTCTTAGCATCTACAGTTTTTAATTAACAACAGATATATCGGCACTTCTTTCAAAAAATAATCCGCCTTCCTTTCTATTTTATAATCACCGGTTATTGTGTTCTTCTAATAAAGAATCATATTTTAAATGTCCAGGATATCTTATAAATGATCGCCTTCTTACAGCAGAGTATGATGTATATTTTATAGAGGGATAGAATATCTTCTCAAAATTTATAAAAGATCTGAAACGTTTACTTATGAAACATTTTAGAGAATATGTAAATAATCTGATGAATAATGAAATATTCAAAAAATAACCTTCATAGATTGTCTTATTACAGAATAGTATAATGAATCGTTTATAGAACAACAGAATATCTTCTAAAAGTTTCTAATAAAAGATCTGAACTTCTAAAGAAAGAATTCTAATACAAATCTAAACTAAATTATAGATAAATACCTAGGCGACCTTTTAATTACAGTCCTACGATGTAGAAAACCACCAGTTTTTTCATATAAAACCAGCAGGTCTATTTCATGGAAGGTCCAGCATATCTTCTTCATTAAAGATCAAAAGCTGTTATTCATAGTAGACGTCCAGCATAGAAAACCAGAAGGCCATATTCATTGAAGATCAGATCATCTTCATTAGTGGATAGTGTGTCAGATCACAAACCTATGGTTTCCGGGTTCGAATACGAGCCGGAGAAGAACAAATTATTTCAAAGTGGGTTTAAAATATTTTTAAATAGAGTCTTACACCATCTCCCGATGAAATGCATACGAAACCACCTGACATTCTCATAGGAGATAGCGCCACCCTGTGGAAAATTGCAGTACTAATTGCAGTCCATAAAAGATTTGTTTCTATGCAACGATAGGTGATAGCCTCAGATTTTCTATGCATACTTAAGAGCTGAAAATTTGGGAATACATGGTCGGAAAATCGGTGTTATGAAATGTCTGCAATATAAAATTAAACCTCTAATTTTCAAAAAGAAGAATCTGTTATGAAGACCACTGATCC